GGCTCTTGGCAATCTGTATGCAAGACCAGAGTCTGAACTCTGGCAGTTAATTAGTTAACTAGTTGTAGATTGTATGCTACTTGTCTTTGTGATACTTGCATGGAAGACAAAGAGGTGGCTCCTGTCACTTGTCTGTAAGACCCATGGTTTTGGCTCCCGGCCTGGCAAGGAAGACCATGATACGGGTCGTGATATAATGGCAAGACTATGGTTGGCACATAACACCTTTTTGTGATTGCTGGATATGTATGATATGTATGGCTCGTATGATATGTATGGTATGTGGTATTTGGGGAACTCACTAAGTTTTGTGCTTACAGTTTGTGGTTTATGGTTTTAGGTACTTCCGATTCAAAAGGGAAGGGCCCGTCTTGATCGCAGCGCATACACCCGTGTTTCTCCGCAATTCATGATTTGGGATTTTACTATGATAATTGTTTTACTTTGGAATACTTTTAAATGTTTGAATAAAGATGAAGGAATCTTTGAATATATATTAAAAATGAAATTTTACCCATTGATTTTCTGGATGTTACACTAAATATTATTAAAAATAGACTTGAGTATACTTTAGATTGCGTTAACATGATCAGTGGCCCTCGTGTCCATTATCCAATCGTCATTTTCCGCGTTAACATGATCGGATTGATCTAGATTGCAAAGCCAAGTCTATGGTGGTTGTACAGAGTTGTTTGGCTGATCGTTGGATGTGAAGTGTAGCTGGGGGCTAGTCTGTTGTTGTGATTAGGCCGAAGAGGGTCTGCTACCCAAGAGTTTGATAAAATTAAAATTGGGTCTGCCCTATGAAATTTGTTGTTGCATTAAATTAGTAGGAGCCCATTGTGGCTAACAAGCATAGGCATCAATCCATTATGGTGGAGTATATGAGGCCTTTGGTGGCGGTGGCATGTATATCCAGCCATATCATTGCTGTTGTTCGGTGTTGCTGGTGGCTGAAGATGACGACCGACGGTGACGGTTGTTGGTATTACTCCTCGATGGCCATTCTAGTGTGAGTTTTGTCCACCCCTACAGGATAAGACATTAGTTCCAATACGAAGAAGAGATGGCGAAGAAGAATGAGTGTCATGATATGGAATCGGTACCTGGTTTTGATTCATTCGGTGCTCTTCGAGAAAGAGCATGGATCGAGTTTCAATGAATGTTGGTAAAAGAGAGCGGTAGCGAATGATGCTTGCTAGATTGTCGAACTTACTTGATAAACCATTAATGGTGTAGATGAGAAATTTTTTGTCGGGTACTAATTGTTCAAGTACTTCAAGAAGGTCCACAATGCCTTTGAGAAAAAGTGAGTATTAAAGTTTTTTATAGGGTGAAATTTTTTGACTCTATGAAAAAACAATTTTGTAAACTAATAAACGATTAAAGATATATATTATAAATAAATAATAAATAACAATTTGTTTGTTTTGGACTATTCGGTTTTTATTTTATAAATCAAAACCAGTACAAAATAACAATTCGGTTATGTTGAATCAATAAAAAATCTAAATATCTAAACCAAATTGTCCGATCCAAATTCCCAAATTAGACAATTTAGTTTTTATCCAAACAATAAACAACCCTACTTAGATGGATCGAAGGTGTTGTCTATGTGATCAATGACATCAAACCCGATGCAACGGGTGTCTAATAATTCATGCCAAGCATGAGGCGATCAAGATCAAGTAGTAAAGGAGCATAGGTTTTGATGTTAGTGATGTCGTAAGCCTTGGCGGGAGGTGGAGGCTGGTTGGCGGCCATTAGGGTTTATCCCATGAGTACGAGAGAAGAAAAAGAGGAAGACGATGGAAAGGGAAAGAAAAAAAAAGATATTTTTGGAGAAGGCTGAGGTCTTTAATAGCATGAAAATTAGTATTTTCCCATTAAGAGAACTCCATTACAATATATACACCTTGCATTTGAAGACCTTGGGCCTATAGATAAAAATAACTAAATGGTATAACATAAATATAATGAATATGCATAAGAGTATGTCGGCTAACTAATATTTCGTTAATCAACTATTTGTCTATATTTTTGTTATATAACTGACTAGGTGAATGCTCGCGCGTTGCGCAGAAGCATCTATATAGCTGAAATGTTTACAAATATATGTTTTTAAATATAACAATAATGTTGTTGTTAAATTTGATATAATAATTCATATACTAAGTTGATATAATATATTGATTATTTTGAATTATATGATATATATACATCTATAAAACTGCATAATCTCAATCTTTTGAACGACCTCTACCTGCAGGTTACTCCTGAATAAAATTAAATATAATATATGGTTTAATGTTATTTATAGTTGTTTTTATTGATAATTAATTTTTTAAAATTTATTTGCTTAACTTTTTAATTTTTGTTATTGTAATTATTTAAAACATCAAACATTTTTTTTTATTTTAAAGGTAACAATATAATCATTTATATAGAGTTATTTTTAACTATTGTTATTGTAAGTTATTTTAAGCTACTTATTTGAAAACTTTTAACGATTATAAAAATATCTTTAGAAAATATTTTAGTTAAATTGATATTACAATTTAGTTTCTGCATTTAGCACTACAATTTATCACTTTTAAGTATTCACAAAATATCCTTTGAGTTTTTTAAGTGGATCTGAAATTTATATTGAAGTTGACCTTGTAATGTTATACAATTTAAGTATTTTGTCCAAACTATTCAAAAGTTATAGCTTTAAACTGATAATGGTTTACATACAACAACATATTAAATCTAATAAATTAAGTATAATATGTTAAAGTTAAAGACATAACTTTATAATTAGAAGTAAAACATTATTTTAATATTGAAATTTAGTTTATTTATGACTACACTTTAGGTTGATACTTATTTAACCTTATAACCAACTTATAATCATTATTAGAAAGACACTACAATTTATCACTTTTAACTATTTACAAAATATTATTTGGGTTGTTTAAGTTGAACTAAAATTTATATTTAAGTTGATCCTGTAAGGTTATATTTAAATTAACAATTTAAGTATTTTATAAATATTGTTCAAAAGTTGTTGCTTTAAAATGATAATGGTTTACATACAACAACTTATTAGACCTAATAAATTAAATATAATATGTTAAAATGTAAAAACATAACTTTATAAGTAGAAGAAAATATATTCTTTTAATATTGAAATTTAGTTTATATATGATTACACTTTAGGTTTGATATTTATTTAACCTTATTAACCAACTTATAATTATTATTAAAAAGAAATTAAAAAGTCATGAGAGTTTCAAATGAATGTGGTGAAAGGAAAAAATGTATGGGAGTTTCAAATGAATGTGGTGAAAGAAAAAATGCTTCCTTTATAAGTATATAGTGATGATTAGAAAAATATTGAATTATTAAATTAAAGTGTTTTTTCTCTTTTAAATTTAACAAATAATTTAGATAAATAAACAAAGGAAACTAATGAGGTTTTAATTTAGAAATTTTGAAATTAGAAGGAAACTCAGTTAATGAAATTGATATGCATTTATTATTACATTTATTACAATTAATACATTTAATTAAATATTATATGAAATTTAATAAAAATGAAATAACCACAAAATGCCATGTGAAAAATATTTAATTGAAAATAACCACAAAATGACATGTGGCCAAATCAATGAGAGTGTGACATGTGACAAAAAGATTTTCATTTATTATTGTAGATATCTTGAAATGTTCTTGAATTGGTTTTAAACAATTATTTATTAGTGTTTTATACAGAAATTTTCATTATTTTAGAAATATTTTTGATAAAATCTTAAATATATATATATATATATATATATATATATATATATATATATATATATATATATATATTTTAACAGAAAAGTGCTATTATTTTGGAAAAAATCACATAATCTATCATTTTCTGTTAAAATAAAAAAAACGATTTTTCGTTATTTTGGACAGAATATTAAATAATCGGGACTTTTTTGTTAAAAAAAAAATTAGGACTTTATTAATTTTTTTTCTCCAAAATAATGAGACTTTTCTACAAAAGACACTACTATTTATTATTTGATTATATTATGTATTACTTATAAATGTACGTTTAGGCTTGTGTAGTGTTTACGATTTCGCGATGGGAGGTAGATGGCAGTGGTTTAATGTTTTTCATATGTTTAAATAGAAGGGTTGTTTACAAAAATAAAAGATTTTTTTGTATGTATTAGGGGCGTGTTCAGCATAGAGTGTTTGTGAGTGTTTGAGAGCTTCTAGCTTCTAGCGTTTGACAAAACGTTTCGTTTTGAACAAAAAATATCGTTTGACACTATAAGCTTCTAGCGTTTAGTTTAAACAAAACGCTCCAAATCCAAATGCTACTTCACGAAGCGTTTAAGAAAACACTACCAGCTAGAAACTATCCGCTACCCGCTACAAGCTACAAGCTAACAGCTAACAGCTACCAGCTATTTTTGCCGAACACACCTTAGAATTACATGAATGTTTTAATAGACCCAAATTTTATATAGTTGATTGTCTTTTTCTGATATTTTCCTTTTATTTAACTATATTTATTATTTAACATATTATTTATTTATAAACTAAAAATAAAAACAAAAAAAATACTATCTAAGTATAGACAATCGTATATTGTATTTGACATTGGGCCAAGATGTAAGAAACAAAACTATAACTTTTTACCACCCGAAAAAAAGGACAAAGACTAGTTCCAATCTTTCGTTAATAACGTGAATGTTAATCATGTTGAGCTTTTGTTTGGAAAAAAGAAAAAGTAAATGCCCCTTGGATGGGTTGCTACAATCTAATTTGTAGCAGTTTGGTGACACTCATCAGTGATAATCTAGCCCAACAATTCGCATGCTTCAAACGACAGCAATATCATTAATTCCTTTATTTTCACTCAATCCAGCAAATTATTCCTACACACTAATATATTATATTTCAAATACTTCTCTCCGTTCTTTCTACTACCACTTATCTCTACACAACTTATCAAAATGCCCCCTCAAGAGCCTCTTTCCTACCCTCTTAATTCCCCATTGTTGCACATTCTCTCCCAAAAATCATCTCTCAATCTTACATTACCTCAAAAGAGATCTTTACTAAAAATGACACTTACAAAGAGAAAATCAATCCTGATTCTTGTTTTTATCCTTGTGATTGCCTCCCTCATAAGAGTACTCAGAATCACCATTACCACTTCATACTTCCCAAATGTTGTTTCATCATCTATGGATCATGATCTTATAACAACAAGAAGTAATGTGAGTGACAAGACACTCTCTGAAAAGGAACTTAGGTTTCTCTCAGATATAATCCTTCAAAAATCTCCCTGTAATCTTCTCGTTTTTGGGCTTGAAGATCAATACCTAAAGTTACCAACCATCAACAAAGGTGGTGCAACAGTTTTTCTAGAGGACAAACCAGAAAAGCTAATGAAAATGAAGGGAAATGGCGATGGTGTACAGGTATTCAGAATCAGGTATAAAACATCTGCTAAAGAAGCATATAAGTTGTTAAAGCATGCAAGAAGAGACTCTAGTTGTTCTGTAAGAAGACTTACCTCAAAATGTAAGATTTCAGTTGCTGGATTCCCGAAAGAAGTGTTGAAGATTAAATGGGATGTTATTGTTGTGGATGGACCAGGTGGAGATGGACCCGAGTCACCTGGAAGAATGGGAGCTATTTATATGGCGGGTGTTCTTGCAAGATCTGGGAATGGGACGAATGTTGTTGTTCATGATGTTGATCGGATGATTGAGAAGTGGTTTTCATGGGAGTTTTTGAGTGAAAAGAATTTGGTTTCTTCTAAAGGGAAGTTTTGGAATTTTAAGATTAGTCAAAGAAAGAAACTGGTTTCTTTGAAAAGATCATGATCAACATCATGCAAAAAGGAATGTGAAAGTTAATAGAATTTACTCCATTTTTTTTTTGTTTTTTGTTTTTGTGGATAGTGGTTGAGTTAACTTGTTGGTTATGCAGGAAAAATGTATAACATATGAATTTAGTGTTTTTTTAATGAAAAAGGATCTTCTTAACTAGGGTTTTCGGACCCACTTTCGAACACCGACTAATCCTCGATGTGCACATGAAGTTATGCCTCGGGCTATGGAGTTAGTGCATGAGAATCTTCATGGCCACAGGAGGTGAGATCTGTGTTTTGAAGAGCATATCATATGAAAACAATAATTATATTTCGTAAACCGTTTGAATTAAGCAACAGTCATCTACTTTTTTTTAAAGGAAGTTGATTTTTCCACAACAAATTTTTATCAATCCACTAAAAAAACAAATATAATTAAATAAAACAATTAAAACTCAACAACTTAAAAAAAACAAATATAATTTCAAATTAATGTATATCAAATAAAAATAAAATCTTTGCCAACAAAGTATTCATATTAATACATATCAAATACGTATTATGGCACCCATTGATCGCAACCATCCACCTGCCTTATAGTTAAAATACAAACCCTACCAACCGAGATATTCTGGACGTCTTTAGAGCAATTACAAGGAATTAAAACCATCCAAACTTTCCAGCAATCATCGATAAGACATTGGTTTCCCAAAACTGAACAGGAATTTCATTAATCTTTAAAAAGGAAGCACACAAATCAAATCATTTCTAAAAGCCAATGGTTTGAAAATTTAATACTTCCTTTGATGTTTACAAATATCGGAATCGTAATTATTTTGCTATATTTTTTTTATTCAGTTGACCCATTTTTATTCAGTTGACCCATTTTGCATGTGAACGCTTGGGTATTGCTTTGCGTTCTCTCACCCTGGCAGGCTTCCTGAACCACGAACCACTTGTATTTCTCTAATTTTGGGATATCGACTGTTTTTGAGATTAGGATAGGTTTGGTTATTATTTTCGTTTTCAATTTTAGGAAAAATTGTGATACCAGTGAATTGTTGGTGGGATAAGTAAGGCATGCTTTGAGAATTATCTTCATTAAATTAGAGATTTTGGGTTATGTTTCAATGGAAGAAGATGAAATTCTAAGAAGCTATTTTTGTTGCCCACCAAGTGTTTGATAAAATGCCCAAACCAGTTTTTCTCGTGTCACAACCTTATTGTTCAAGATAATGTAGTTTGCTTAGTTTGGATGCTTCTTGTGCACACCAACAGTGTGTTGGTGTGCCATTTCCTTCCCTTGTTAAATATTGTTTCATAGTTTTTAGCTTCATCTCGAGGCTTGTTCTCTCGTTGTATGGCTTCTTCTTCCACAAGTTCGAGTGATATTTGTCTGTGCCCCGTTCAGAAGCTTCCATTGTTGCCAAATGGTGAAGTGGGAAGTAAGGGGATTGGCGGTATGATTTCACACATCAAAAGGCATCATTTACCTACTGAAGACCGTAAATGTGTGTTGCGTGAAGCTCTTTCTAGTGATGTTGGTTTATTTATGGAAGTGGAAGAAACCTTGAAGGCCTTTGGTCAATGGATGTGTGGGAAGTGTATGAATTTGCAGGCTCTTAGCCGTTATTGTCATCACTCGGATGGTCGTGCGAGGTTTGTTACAGGGGCTGACGGCTCGAGTCGTTACATTGTCGGTATTCTAAAGCCGTCAACTAAAGAGTCGGTGAAAAATGCTCTTGGAGGCTTGGTTTTTGATGTTGCGCTCCTTGATCGTATTTTTAAAGAGCCTATCACTACTGTCAAGAGTATCCCCCATAGTTGTCGCCTTGCTTTCTCTCAGGCTTTGAAGAGTGCCCTTTACAAGGTGATTGCCCAACCTGGCTCGGTTGAGGCATGAATGTGTTTGTTACTTCTTCCTCGCTGCACGCTGCAAGTGTTTAGACCCAAAAATAGACAAGAATGTAGGTCTGGGAATAGAAAATCCTTACAGCACAGCTCCATCCTGAAGTCCTTGGATGCATGGGGGAAAGAGGGTGGTATCACGAAGTTAGTTCTAAATATGTTAGACAATCCCGATGTTGGAGCTATGAGACAGGGTTGAGGCATCCTTCAGAAGGAGTCTAGATCAAGTAACACCAACATCAGACAGTGTCTCCGTAAAGTTGCAGATGGTCATTTTACCGCAGTAGTGAAAGTGTTATGCTCATCGGGTGTTGCACCATATAATGGTGATACTATTAAAGCTTTGGAGGACAAACACCCTTTCAGGCCACCCCCATCCATGTCGAGCCCCATAATTTCTGAACCTCCCCTTGTAGCAGACTTTGACTGTGTATTTGGTTGCATCAAATCCTTCCCCAAAGGAACTTCTTGCGGGAGAGATGGCTTGAGGGCTCAACACTTACTAGATGCCCTTTGTGGAGAAGGGTCTGCTATTGCCACAGATCTCATACATGCTATCACTTCAGTGGTTAATTTATGGTTAGCGGGAAGATGTCCAACCATTTTGGCAGAGTTTGTTGCGTCCGTCCTCTCACGCATCTACTTAAACCTGACAACGGGATCCGTCCGATTGCAGTAGGCACTATATGGAGACGTCTGGTTTCCAAGGTTGACATGAAAGGTGTGGGTAAAGAAATGGCCAAGTACCTTATGGATTTTCAGTTCGGGGTTGGTGTATCCGGCGGTGCTGAGGCTGTGTTACACAGTGCCAATAGGGAGGTTGAGTGAACACCATGCTGATGGGTCTCTTGTAATGCTGACTGTGGATTTCTCGAAT